ATAAAATGTATAATTAAAAAAGTAAAGATTTCATATACACATTTTAAAGCAAATTGTAAAGAACAGAAAAACGAACAATACATATTTCGGTTCACTATGTATGTTTTATAACAATATATTGATGGGAGAAATTCGATAAAATAAATTCAATTTTAGAAATTCTTGGCGGGCCGCATAAACTTGTTTAAGGGGCCGCGCGTTGCTCATCCTTGCTTTACAGCATACAACACCTTACAAATAACATTCAGCAATGGACATATGTAGTAAGTTTTTAAAATGCTTCATGGCTTCGGTAAGCCTTGTCCAACTCGTAACATTAAAACTGTTGCGACAGTGTCCGATACCACAATTACGGGAAACAATATAGCACCCACAATAGACAATAACACCGGCTGACAATGGATGTTTGGATTCGAAAGACATTCGGAGAGACAACTCTTAACACGGTATTACATAAATATTCTTGCAGTAGACAGTAAATTGTTACTAATATTATAAAGGCGATAGTTTGTATGTATGGATGGATGTTTGTTACTCTTTCACGCAAATACTACTGAATGGATTCTAATGAAACTTTACAATAATATAGCTTATACATCAGAATAAGACATAGGCTATAATTTGTATAAGTATTTTATGTAAAGACAGATAGTCTTTCTGTCTGAATGTTACGCCTTCAGTCTCTTCAACGCAAACGTAGTCGCGGGTAGCAGCTAGTGGGAACAGAAGGTTGAATTTCCGATAGTTTAAATATTGAAGTTGAAATTGAATATAGAGGCATACATAAGTCATACTTGATCATTCGTTAGGGTTCCGTAGCCAAAGGGTAAAACGGGACTACTAAGACTGTCCACTGTCTGTCTGTCCGTCTGTCACAAGGTTGTATCTCATGATCCGTGACAGTTAGACAGTTGAAAATATCATTGATGATGTATTTTGTTGCCCCTATAACAACAAATATTAAACAACAGAATAAAAACATATTTAAGTAAGTGCAGTTTTTATAGATAGTATGGAACCTCACGTGCGCGAGTCCGACTCGCACTTGGCCAGTTCATTTATTATTAAGGTATGCAACTGAAGTTAGCATAAGCAAGCAAAATCAATATTTACATGCCCCAATCCCTCATTCTGTAATTCTTTAATCTATTGATATTAAAATCTTAATTTATGGAAAATAACTGACTCACCAGATTTTAAGTCACTTGCATCATTACTGGTAAATAAGCTTAAATGTTAAGTTAAAGGGATTATGTATTAACAGGTAATTAAGAAATGAGCCAACAAGCTATTACAATTAACCTCAAGTAATTATGCCTCTTTTTCTAGTTCCTTTGTATTTGTTGACTTGCTTTGAACTAGTTTTAATATTCACTTCAATTTGTAAAAAGGTGTACTTTATATGTTCTTTGTTTTATTCGCAAGCAATCTCATCGATGTTGATTGCTTCCTCTCATATACATCTACATCACCTTTTGGGGTTACCAATTTTTGATACTGTCATGTTCCAATATGTGTAATCTTAAATGAGGGTACTATTTACTTTGTTGTCAAATAAAGTTAAAGAAGTGAAGGCAGGAGTAGAAGCGACGGACGATTTACGTATTGTGTTAAGCTACCTAGCTAATTACATTATAGTACATACTTAACGTCTTTTATTATTATTCTGGACATAATAGATACCAATACATTGATATGCAAAAATGCTTAGGCAATATTATGATAGATGAAATAATTATATTCTGATTGAAGTTTAGGTTCTACTTACTTCCAGAAAAGGCATAAAATCAAAATTACTTCAAATTCGTGCCAGTCGTTTGGCTAAGTGTAATTATTGCTACTGGCCTTGGTAATTCCGTGGATGAGGCTGTTTGCAACAGCAGAACCAAAGAAGAGTAGCTGTGTAAGGACAAGTAATCTTCAAAATGATGAAACCAATTGAATTATTTTTATTATAAAAATTTATTGTTCTGTATACCTATTCCCTTCTACTAATCACCATTAGTCTATCTGCACAGCCACGCCAATTTGAAATTTTATTTGAAAACCTAAGCTGCTGTGCCTACCTAACCTGGCCTAACACTACAAAGGAGTAGCCCTGAATAAAAAGAGACTAAGAGACATTATGATAAGAAGATGCTACTTGACTTTAGAGTTTACCAAATACAGTGCTACGATTTATTTATACTATTTTATTGAAAAGCAATGACTGATAGGAACAAAATATACACATTTAGAAGTTGTAAGCTTAAGTAATATATTTATTCATTTTCATAAGCTGTTTCTTTTTTTTTTGTCTTAATTAACCAAACTCATATAAATTGTGTCTTCATCAGCGGTTAATGATGTAACTAAATTTCTATATGATTAAAATTGTTACTTAAAAAATTTTCAGCTCAAGATTAATGTTACAAAAATGTAATAGATTTTTTTTAAAGTTCTAAAAATCACAATCGTCTTACCTGCGGCACCTGAGTAGACTTCCCGCATCCAGTTTCACCGACTAGTATTAAAGTTTGATATTTTTCTAGCAGGTACAATATATGATTCCTGTATTGAAATACGGGCAATTTCTGTCGTTGTGCTTCCATAGGTAAATGATGGTATCTGTTGTACACAAAATTACTCTTTGAATCATTGTCGAGCGATAAAGCCGCATCGATATTTGGTTTTAACAACGTTTCAACAACACCATCCTTATTTCTCAGTGGATACAGGCTGTCATCACCTGTAAAAAGTTATAAAGTCCTAAAGAATATACATTTTAATACACCTTTTGATAAAAATTATGACAAGACATTTTCCTTTTACTGAAAACACTATAACAATTTGAGTTACACACCTGGCCGGACAAACTTGGGCTTTTGAGTCAACATATTATATGTCGATATCTTAGTAATAGGTAATAATTTAAGCCAATAAATTGTTTTTTCGGTTTGTTTACAATTTATGATTAAGGTTATGTTATTGTGTTGAGTGACAGTATAATATCTTGGTGTTACTATTAAATAATTTATAGTGCTTATGTACGTCGACAGATACTGTATATATATAATTTATATATTAACAATAAAATACAATACAATTGAAAAACATATTTTCCGCTTACAATATCCACTAAACTGTTTAGACGAATAGCTCAGACGATAAACTTTGTCTACCTACTTTAAAGAAGCGTCGACAAAACATTTTAATTTAATAAATAATCATAACTCATACAAAAAAGCATAACGTGTATTATTCGTTTTTCAGCTAACGTTTTTCTCAAAGGACACATTATATCATAATAGTTAAGTTATGGGTTGTTATTTTGCAGCCTTCAAAATATTCTTAATTGTATCTCAACAAGTACCAAGAGATTAAACATTAAAGACATAAAAAATTAACGCTAATTAACGCTGCAAATACATATTAATAGCTTCTTCTGTCTACTGCGTATTAATTTTTGGGAGCCTTCAGAAGGGATTATTTGGTGCAGTTCAAAGAACAAGCCGAGTTGAGAAAGTCAAATCTTTTATTGTCACTCGTTGCTATAGTTATTTATCAGTTTATTAGGGTAATTCTAGATTAATAAAATAATTAATATACATGAGAGTGTGTGTAATGTATTTTTTATTGATTTAATGCATAATTAATAAAAAATTAGCCTTCTGTACTTCTTCTCTATATGAACTATAAGTGTGGGAAATTTCGTACTTCTCCATCCGTAAAAAATGGGTAGTTTTTGTTACACGTTATAAAGATACGTGTTATCACGTTATATAGATACGTCCGGAGGTGAATTTTTCACAAAGAATTATTAGAGCAAAAAGATTATTAGAGGTTTTCAAATACTGTTTTATTTGAGCCTCAAGAATATTTTAAAAATATATTTTTTATTTATCTTATTTGAGTCATCTATAATAATGATAATATTTATTTCATTTAATTTTGGTAACAACAGAACCTTTACCAACGATTTTTTAGGTTATTACATCTTCAATAAAGCCAATAATCTTAGCTTCCTTATTAACTACTCTTTAAACTAGAGAGATCAAATCTCAAATACCAGCCGCAAAGTCGTTGCCACCCTGCGGTCTCTTTATCGTTTAAAGTATTTTCTCCCTTTACAAAGTAAGCTTATGCTAGTCAATTTCCTTAATTTTGCCAATCATCGATTATGCAGATGTGTGTTACCCAGACCTATCCCAAAATCTTCTCAAAAAGCTGGGACGCCTTCTCAATAACTGCATCCGTTTTATTTTTGGCCTGCGTAAGTATGACAATGTATCGCATTTTAGATCTTAGCTTAAATTATTGCTTTTCTTGTTTTATATTTGCTACCATCAGATTATTATATATAGTAATTTTTAGACGACGGTCATATTAACAGAGCATATGCAGAGTTTAATTCTAAATCTGAATTTGGTACGTACTTGTGATATCATATTTTTATTTTTTTCAAAGATTATTTAACGTGCAGTATTGTCGTCAATCCAGTGAATCCATTCTATAAGTACAAAATATATTTTCTGTAAACATTTTTATCCACATAGGAGCTAAATATCCCTAACCAATACGTGTACTTGTGTGAATGAATCATCTAATATATAAAATTCTCGTGTCACGGTGTTTGTAATTGAACTCCTCCGAAATGGCTCGACCAATTTTCGTGAAAGTTTGTGTGCATATCGGCCAGAGTGGAGAATCGGACAACATCTATTTTTCATCCCCTTAAATGTTAAGAGTGGTCTACCCCTAATTGTTTTTTTTTTATATAATTTTTTTTGTTTTTATGATACAGCATACAAAAATACACACAACCCTAAATTTTTACCCCGAAGTAGTTCCGGGCAGCAGCTAGTATACCTGTAAATACTACTTTCGAAATATTATATATAAAATCATATTAAGTAACCGGCGAAAATAAAATATTACTTTTTTATAATTTATATTTATTACTACATTTAAATTTATTGCGACCGTTGACAAAATTTACATACATTCTTTTATTTCGCTCAACCTAGTGGTGGAATATTTGGTACATCGTAACCTTGCAGGAGTTTAGTGGAGGGCAGCTCCGTGTTGACCACTTCTTTAACGTTCCCTACATTTTTTTGCGGATGCAGAATTAGATCTAGATATTTTTTGCTGATTTCACTTTGATCGGATAAAACAGTTGCTAGTTTTGGTTTACCCGAATTTTCGGGTTGTTTATTGGCTTCAATCGAATACTTTACGTTGACAATTTCGTTTGGTGCCAACATCGAGTTGAAATTCTGAACGGACTCCAACTGTTTGTCCAATGCGGTCTCGTTGATCTTTAAAACTTTGGTCTTCACTAAAGCGCCGTTAGTAGTTACCATCTGCATTAGCTGTTGTTTCCCTAAGCCCTGCAATGTTGGCGATATCTCGGCGATTTTAGATATGGCCAACAGCTCTTGATACAGTTTGGCGGGATCGGTCCTCAACTGAGGCTTCCTTACCAGCAACTCCCTTAGGCTTCTGACAAAGGATTCGTAGGGCAGCCGATACTTGACGAAGTAGACCGGTTGATAGACGACGGGTTTGGGTTGCTTGAGCATGTACGTCAGCTCAACTACTCCGTTGTTATCGGGTGCGGAATTCAATTCGGCTTGATTCGACACACCGACCATCCGTTGCAAATTTGGTAAATTATACGGCGCGTACAACTGCTGGCCATCATGTTTCGTGTTATCAATCAATTTAGGATTGACGAAATATGGATTCGCTTTACCGTATGACGTCTGGTACAGCATATTCTGATTGTTCAACGGGTTTGGCCTTTGGTTAAGTAGGTTCAGATTCGAATACTGATTATAAGGGTTAAGATAGTTAGTATAATAACCGTTAAAACCCGTACCGATCTGATAAGGTGTTTGATATACTGGAATGTTTGGAATCGCACTGGGCGATGGATTCTTTATGTTGTTCAAGATCACATCGCGATTCACGTAGTAAGGTGATATACCCAAATACTTTTCGTTTGTTTGCAAGGAAGCTGGTTGTACTTTCTGCAATTGATATTTTAATAAATTGTTTATGAGGTCATTGTAATCACCTTTCTGTTTGACTTCATCTATTACAGGCGTTATTTTATTAGTGGTAATATTTTTAGGACTGTCTTTCAAATTGGCATCTGAAATGTAGTCTACAATATTTAAGAAACCTTCCTTCTGTCCTTCGATATTAGTCATCTGAACATCATTATTTGGTGCTATTGTTTCTATGTTGGTTATCGTTTCTCCATCATTTGAAATATTATTCTCTATGTTCTCACTGTAATTCGATGGAACCAGCGATACTATGTTTGCTTCATTTGTAGTAGTCAGTAATAAATTGTCTGGTTTTTTATCAAGGTTTGGATTTTGCTTTAAAGATGTCTGACCTTTGTATAGTAGTGTGTCTGCAATAATCTTACTTAAATTTGCATTCTCGTTAGTTGTTTCAACGGATGGGCTCAATACTTGCTCGATAATATCTACTTGATATGGTTTATTATTAACTTGGAAATTCTTGGTACTATCTTGAACAGAATCTTTTGGGATTAGAGTATCAACATTGATTTCATTTTTAAGTTCTTTTGTGGGTTTGGAAAGTTGATCATAATCACTATGTGTATTGTTGTTGACGTGTATTTGCTCCTTAGTCGTTAATATTTCATTATTAGTTTTAATAGAAAGTAATTGTTTTAAAAGATTACTCAAATCCTGATTCTGACTCTCTGGTACTCCGTTAAAGATGGCCGATGCCTGATTATTTGACAAGGAAGGATATATGCTGGGTTCGTAATTTTTTCCTTGATTTATTGCAGTGCTCAATACATTGTTGTGACCATTATTTTTAATTTCAACAAAATTTTCCGTAGGGCAGTTATCATTTGCGCCGCACGTGCGGTGGTGTTCGCGCAAATAATTGGATTCCTTTAGCATTTGCAGAATCCTCGCCAGTGTCTGCTTGCAATCCAAATCTTCGACACTTGGAAGCTGATATCGAACTGTGATCTTTGTTCTCAGTTTCTTCTGTAGTTTACTATTCTCCAAAAGTTGCTTCAAGGATCTGATTTTGGACATGGGAATTATTAAATTCTCACTCCCAACTTCACCTGTAAGCAAGTCGACATTGTCTGGATCGTCTTGTCGAACGATATTTTCATTTGGATTATTCCTTCCGTAGTCCTCGTTCAAAAGTTTTGAAAGTATTCCTTCTATTTGTTGTAATATTTTTGTAGCAGGACAGTCATGTGTCGATTGTGTCTTTGTTAACGTGGGGGCAACCTGTACGAGTATATATTTATAAGTGGAAATTACGCAAAGCAAGAATTACAATACATAAAATATCTATAACATTATACCTCTGATTGGTGGATTCCAACAGGAACACCTGGTAAATAATTGGACTGCAACAGTAATTCATTGAGGGCGCCTAGAGTACCCTGTGAAAATTGCATTAGCAAAATGGTTATTTGTTCAAAAACGGTTATATATTTTAAGGAATGTTTTAAAAAATACCGTGTCCTCTGCTAGAGCGGCGTTAGCCGAACAGAATAGCAACAGCAGACCCGACAGCATATTTCCGAAGTGCCGCCGTCTCTATCCAATTAAATATAAATCCCCCATTAAAAGGTGAATTGTAAAATTAGCGGCTGTGAAATCGATCGGGCTTTAATATTAAGAAAGCGTGTATCCAACATGTAATTACCGCATTGGAATTAAAAAACTTAATATGGCAATTATTGCGCGTGATTTAACGATGCAACTTTTGAGCGCGTTACGTCAGTGTCACTTGGCAGGTGTGAAATTTGTGAATTTATTAATAACATTTCGACAAATTTCTAAAAATAATCGAAAATTTTATACTTTTGTTAGTATATGTACATCTATTAGTATCACCTTGAGCGGCGGGGTTCGATCTGAAGTACGATGAATATAATGACTTAAATATTTATCCGAGTCTATTTTATTTGGCCGAGTACAATATAGTTCTCGAGGCGTTCTCAAAGCAGCCGCAAGTGCTTAGGTACTTCCTAAGAACTTTCGGCTGCTTTTAAACTTGAACCGTGGCGGCTTTGCTTGACTTCCGGACCTAAAGGTACAGAATAAATCACCAACTTAATGAACATACACGAAAAATTAAAACTCTTCCTTTTTTTAGTAGTTGCTGTTATCGCGGCAACAGAAATATATCATCTGTGAAAATTTCGGTAAATGTAAATAACTTTAACTCCGGCGTAATTCAAATCAAATAAATTTTAAACGATAGAGAAAAATCTCTTATGAATTTATCAGCAAGCAGAATTCGGCGGTCGCTTCTAGTTTTCGAAAAAATAAATAATGAAATAGTGTGATTTTTACTATAGACATCCGCCATTTTTTTGTTGTCAATATGTCATTTCAGCTCGTATTTCTTGGTGGTCATAAAAAAAAAAACCTAACATCGAAGGTTAAGGCGGGAGCTCCGCTCCCGCCTGAACCTTCTAACCTAATCTATCCGAGTCGGATTCGCTCTGTGTCGGTTCTGTGATTCATTAAATTAATAAAATCGGAATATCGATACGTGTATGATATCGCCCGCTTCCTATATTTATCATGTTGGCAGAACTGTGTATTGAGTTTTTGAAGTCAAACAAATAAAATGGTGGATTTCTTAGTACAAAAAACAAGTTTTAAATATTTTTTTTCTCGAAAACTATAAGCGACCGCCGAATTCTGCTTGTTGATTAATTCATTAGATATTTATCTCTATCGTTTAAAATTTATTTGATTTGAATTACGCCGGAGTTAAAGTTATTTACCTTTACCAAAATTTCAACCGAATAATTCTCACGGTTCATGAGATACAGCCTGGTGACAGGCGGACATACAGATAGACAGCGGAGTCTTAGTAATACTTCCGTACCCAAAGGGTAAAACGGTACCCTAAAAAGTATCTTTGAGTCAAACTTATTTTCTTACTTGGCTTCTTTTTTATTTTTTTTTTATTAGGAAAACTTACAGCAAATTAGGTACTTATTTTAAAACAATATTGTAACATATATAAAGAGCCAATTACAAGTTTCCACCTTTAGTAAGTACATAATTATATTTTCAGAAAAGTCGAGCAAGTGATGAAAGAAAAAAATATTACATACTTGACATAACACATTTTTTTTTATTTAAATAGATCACAAGGTAAGTACAGTTACGAGCACATTCATGTCAATAGAATCAGTCTGCATATGCATATGTAGACTGATTGTATTAACGGGTTTTAGGTTTACCATTTTACTCTCGTGAGAGTATTACTGTTCTGTGCCCCACCCTGCCTATCCCCCTATTGTCACATACCTTCTTTTTTGGATAAATATGTTACGCTGATACACAAATCGAAAATCATCAAAACTCTCTAGCGACCAGAGCCATGCACCAGAAGCGTACCTATATACAAAATGTCCGTGTACTTATTAAAACGCTATATGAGAATTCACCGAAACCATTCGGGTCGGTTCCGCTAACATTCACACGCGGTTACCGCCGGAAATGGACCTTGTCTTGAATCACGGCAACAAATTATCACTTGTAACTTGAATCAAATTATTACTTGTACGAGATAGCACGTACGGGCTCTCCCGACCGCTTTTCACTACATAGTATAGAACAAAGTCATCTCGCTTCTCTCTGGTGTCCTATGTATGCTTATATCTTTTAAACTAGGTACGAAACTTGATGCGGTTTTTTTTACTAGATAGAGTGATTCACCAGGAAGGTTTATATGTATAAAACATTGCACCTGTACGAAGCCGGGGCGGGTCCCTAGTAAGTAATAACCAAACAACTTAACTAAAAATTGCCAGTACTTTTTATTTCTGAAAAAGATGAAAGCAATTGATAACGGTTAAATTAAATAACGGTTAAATTATGATTATATACTTTATATTTTTTTAACAATTGATTCATTACATTTAGTATCATTTAAACTTTTTAGTATAGTATAGTTTTTTGAAGTCACCATTTTTTTTTGTTATATAACTTTTTATAACAATGGCAGTTCATAGTCAAATCACCAGTTTTGCAACTTACATAAGTAATCATAATTCGATCTAAATTATATTTTATCTAATAAACCTAATCGACGTGACATGGTGCCAATTAAGCTAGCTCCACTTCCTCGCTGAGTAGTTAAGCTTAATTTATAAGCGAGAAAATAACCATAGAGTACATCAGCCGCGGCGTTAAGCCTAGGACGTAAACCTTTAAAATTTTCGATGTAAGGGGCCCCAAAGATTCAACAGCAATGTATGTATTTGTGCCATATATATCATCTTAACATAGAGACTCATATTTGCGCCAATTACTTACTTCAGCTGCCTCCGATCTCACCCCGGCTTTGGTCGAAGTACCCCATAGACGAGAGGCAGCCAAAGAGTCTACACATGTTGCAGCGTCGCGGAAAATGCTAAAGGGCACTAAAATAGATTGAACATTGATAGAAACAAGAGCTCTACGGATGATGTCGTTCAGGGAACCGTGGCAGGAAAATCGGCCAGCACTTTTTTGACAAGGAAGCCCTTGGAGACCCTATTTATCATAGACACCATAAGGTCATTGGTTAGGTTATCAAATCGGTGCCACCAGACGGATTCCTACAGCAGCGCGTAAACTTGCATCTTCAAATAATGCCCAAGTTACTTGATGGTAAAGCGTGAAGCCGATAACTCGATTCTTTAGATGAGACGTCTAGGAAACGGGCACGCTCTAAATTAGTATCTAAAGATTGAAACATAGTTTATAAAAAAAAATTGTTTAATTAGCATAGTTATCCATTTTCTGGTTTCCGTACCCAAAGGTTGAAACGGGAGCCTATTACTAAGACTCCGCTCTGTCCGTCTGTCACCAGACTGTATGTCATGAACCGTGATAGTCAGACAGTTGAAATTTTCACAGATGATGTATTTCTGTTGCCGCTATAATAATAAATAGATGACTGCCGCCAGAAGTATAAACTTAGAACTGAAAGTATGTGTTTTTCATTAAAAACACATAATTCTAATTAACACATAACACTAATTTATACCGCAAAAGTCATAATTCTTAAAATTGAAACCAATGTATACAGATAAATTAAATTGGAGTGTGTGTTTGTAATATTAAAATAACCGCTTTTTACTAATGCATTTGGATGAATACACGGTACATATGCCCAAAAAAAAATTCTGTTTGTTTCGGCTAATCTTTGAAACAGCTGGACTCATTTTGACGGGACATTCACTGGCAGTTAGCTAATTTAATAAGGAATAACTTAGGCTAGTTTTATTTTAGATTTTTTTTTATTTAAATTCCACGCGGACGATGTCGCGGGCACGGCTTGTAAACAATAATTTTAAGTAATAAGTACTTTTATAAAATTTTATAGAACAGCTAGAACCTTGTTTTACAGAGATCAAACATTAGAAAACCCTAATGGTATCTATCCTAATAATCATCAAAACTAGGAACAAAAAATTTTTCTATGGGTAAATATGGCGGACATTGCTATTACTCTCCCTCAATGCGGTTTCTCTTTCTTGCAATACAAGAAGTGCCGTGTTGTTTGTCAAAACTTAATTTCGCACCGCGTATTTTGAATGTAAATGCTTATTTCATTGTAAATTTAAATTGTTTATAGTAAACTTTCTCACGAAAACTAGTGACAGGTGTTCAGAGTTGTACTTTTAATTCAAAATGCCTAAAAGACGGTTTATTACCTCTGAAATTGGTGAAAATCGAGCAAGTCATTCGAATCTTGAAAAAAGGATGTTTGTGGCGAGATTTCCTTTAGATGAAGCCCATGTAAGTACTTAAATATGATACTTTACAGCCATATGTAAGTAGAGCAGGCTAAGAATAAATAAATTTTGTGCTAATTTAAATTGCAAGTGTGCTAGTGATGTACTGCAACTGTAATATCGACACATCGATAACTACGTTAATGTTTATCATTGAAAAAAAATGTTGCGTGAAAGAGTTGGGGCACAAAGTTTTACATATTTGAATGGTGTGCCTACATAAATGAGTAAGGATCGGCATAGGTGAATTTTGCAGGATTTTGAAACATAATCTCTGTAATATTGATACATCATATAATTAATTTCGTGCGCTGAGTATGCAAGAAAACTAAAATATTTTTTGGATTTTGATTCTATTTTTATGTTTCAATTATTTCCAGACTCGTGTACAGCAGGACAATCACAATCACCTCTGAGGGCAACCGATAACTATGTTCTCTTGCCTTGGCTTTGTCGATTCCGAATTGCCATTGTGAATGAGCCGAAAACCGAATAAAGAAAACATAAATATTATAAAATGCACATCAAAAACCTTTATCCCATAAAACTCACCATGCACTAACCCTTAAATCAAGTTTTTTTTATATACCTACATGTTCAATGTAAGTTTAATGTATAAGTAGGCTGAATATTACGAAATATCAGTGGTTAAAGCTATATTTATATACATAAAATTCTATTTGATAAATAAAGTTGCAATAATTAAGATTTGTGACTTTTTAACTGCTTTTAATTAATTAACAATAGTGCAGGCACGTGTTCTATAAATCCTTTTTTCTCTTAAACGTCTAGTGCAATATACAAAGATACAAAAACATAATTTACATTAACTAATTCATAATAATACAATACAATGGTTATTCTATAGAATTCTCGAATTTACACGTAACATATTCCAAGTAATTTACATGTCTATTATAAATTTTTATATTTAGAAATGTCATCAAGAAGCTGTTGCATGGACAATAGGTGAAATATATTATCAACGCTGTCCCTTTTTAACTCATATCCGGATACGAACTGAATTTTGTTCCCCTCAACGTTTTTTCCCGAGTATATTTTGGAGAAAAGCTTGCCTATTAGCTCCTCCTGCGCTCTAGCCTCGCAATCCTTTAGAGCTATCGCGTTGATATCGGGCATCAAGATTTCCACAAGGTTCACAACTACCTCCTTTATTGTTTCATCATCGTAATCATTCGCCTTCAAATATTGAATTACTTCTTGCAGCACGTCGACTAAGCGTGATATCAGCGTTTGCGCAATTGCATTCGGCTGCTGATGACATATGCCATCATTTTTCTGCAACAGTTGCCGTTCCAATTCCAAGATCAGAATACTCGATGACGTGACTTCGCCACCCCTTTCAAGGCTGAGCCTATTCCTGAAGATATTTAATATCTCGAAAACTTTTATAAACTCTTGCATGTTCAAGTCTATTTTATTATCGTCCTCATTCAAATTGAAAATGTTTTCGAGCAGTTTCAGAATAGCGTCGAATTTATTATTAGCATCTTGACACGACACATCTTTAAGGGTAGATTTTGTATCTTCGTGAGTTGTCTCGCTTATTTGATTAATCGTGTAGTTGGCCAAAATATCATCATTGTTAACGATTGCATCGTTCTTCTCCTGCTGTGCCTTAAACATATTTTGCACCAGCTTCGTTAACGCCAATTCGATGTCTTTAGTATAATTGTATGGCTCCACCACGATATAGTTTCCATCGTCATTGTTCAGCTGCAAACATTTATAAGATTAAGCCGTGCAAGAATGATTTACTTTTGAAACTTGTCTCTGAAATAATTTTTATTATTAAACACGTAACGAAGACATGTACGGAAGTAGGTACAAACTGGTCTTTGAGAAGCATTAAATAAACAAATACAAATAGAACTTAAATATTGCTTTTTATATATAATGACTCCGTGGCGCGGTTGCCAAGGTATTGGCTTCGGCGTCGGGGGTCGTGGGTTCGATTCCTACGTGGGGCAAAAAAGACTTCAAATATCTCGCTATGTATTCATTTTATAATCGATAAAGCATAAAGAAGAATTAAATTGGCTTGAGAGTTTTAACTATTTAAATGTTTTTTTGTATGTGAATACGTCAATACCGCAATCGGATTGGATGACGCATTTGTAAGCCCTATGGTGTTGCAGGTGTCCATGGGCGGTGATCACTTACTAGGTGAGCCTCCTGCTCGTTTCCGCTTTCCCCCCATAAAAAATGTTATGTGAAAGCGTTATATAACATTAAACTCACATACGGTTGAGGAATATGATGACTCCGTGGCGCAGTTGCCAAGGTATTGGCTTCGGCGTCGGGGGTCGTGGGTTCGATTCTCACACGGGACAACTATTTGTGTGACCCACAGATAGTTGTTTCGCATCTGGGTGTTTGTCCGCGTGAAATTTATGTTTGTAAAACGTCCTTTACAACACAGGATAATGTTATCCTAAAGTAAGGGCAGTGTTTTTTTAAAAAAAATCACGAATTTTTTTTAGACGATTGCTCTTTTGGGAGTTTTACTTTGAACATCAGTATTTGTGTAGTACAAATAGAACAATCTATTTACTTACAACATCAGTGTTTTCGGTGCTAGCTTCCTTCTTTAAGTCCAACAAAACTAAGACGAAACTAGGCTGCCAGAGTGTTTCAGACTGTGCTGCTTTGTTCCTTGTCAAATAATCGTATATCTTTAGTAAAATGTATTTCCTAATCGGCGTTACTTCGCTTTTGTATATAGTAAGCAATCTCTCTGTTACTTGTGTCGATTCTGCATTGGTCGAATTATCCGGTGAGACATAAATGGTTTCCAACAATTGCATGTATATATTATTAAGGCTGGCTGTGCTCATCTGTCGAATGGTCTGCATCACGCCCTGCTTAAGTAAACTGTCCAATTCCTTAGAAACTTCGAAAACATGTTGGTCTTTTACTTCGTCGTCTGGTGTGATGTCTTCGATAGTATCGGCATAAATTTCGTTAACGAATTGTAAAGTGTTTATTAATTCAGGAAGCATTCCATTCTTTTCCATTAGCTCTAATAAATATTTTGTTAACTGGCTTAATTCATCGGGTTTTAAACTAGGAAATGTATAAATATTTTTATTATTATTTATCGATGAATTGTTATCTTTTGTAGATATTATTTTAAGAATTTTTGTTAAGTACGGACTTAAATCGTACCTATTGTTCATATCATTTAAATACGTCTGTATTCGTTTCAGATCTTCTTGATCAATAATAGCTGCTATATGAGTATTGTTAACCTGTGCAATTGATACTTTAAAGTCTTTCACTGGCTCTCGATACAGGTTGATAATATCTCTTACAAGTTTGATAACTTTTTGGTTTATATGGCGATCTTGTAATAGACGCAATAAGTATGTGGCGATACTACTTAAGTCATCAGTATTTACTTCTGTTCCATTTTTATTAGACTTGGTTATTAATTTGGTCAAATTGCGTTTTATGTCGGGCTCGGCTTTTATATGGTCAATATCATATAAGATACGTAAAACTTTACCATCTTTACCATATGGATCCAATAAATCTATTAAATTTGTGTCTTTAACGTCGTCACCACGTATAGTTACGTTTTTTTTATTGTCTCCTGGGTTATATATTTGAGTGTCTATTGTAATAACATTTTTCTCATTATCAGCTTCTTCCTTTTGTTTCAGAACGTTATCTAATAACTGCTGAACAAGTGATTTAGTTTCTAATTGATTATACACAGGACGCAAATATTCGATTAATACATTCAGATCATTCATATTAAGGTTCTCTAATTCTTTTGAATTATTCAATTTCTGTACAACTAGGTCTGGATTTTCATAAATCTTATCAATCAATAATACTTTCAATATATCCTTGATGGCTGAACTTACATCTTCATTATTTATTAAATCTATAAAATACAATCTTTCTGAATCCTCTTTTGTTTTATTATCGTTTTGTTTTTGCACATTTTCTTGTGTGTCATGGATGTATTCGAGAAGTTTGATAAAATCGCTGTTTGAATCTGAAACATTTACTTTTGTAGTCAAATATTGTATTATTGTCTTAAGATCGTCATCATTAACATAAGAATTTGTACCACTGAGTACGTAGGGATTGCTATCCGTCTGTGGCGAACCCAGTATCTTATTTATTTCGAAGATGATTTGTAGAACATCTGGGTTTTTACCACCTTTTGCAATTAATGTTTGTAAGTAGTTTTTTATTCTATTTAAAGCATCTTTCTTTACAATAGAGAGTGAATTTGGGTCATCTTCAGGTTTTTTGACAAGTGTTTCATTCGTAAGATAATCCAATAACTCGGTGTATAAATCATTGTTCCCATGTATTGTTTGGAAGAATGGGACTTTTCCTAAATCATTTTGACTGAGTGGCTTTGTGTTGTTTAAAGTTATTCTTTTTAATTCATGCTGACCATATGGTAACGTTAGATTTTCATTTAAATCTTTTAACGTTTCGAATAGCGCCGGATCAGATTTTTGCGGAATGCTGTTATGTAAAAGAAATTTATTCAGTTTCTCCAAATCAATTTGTTTCGCGTTTTCAATATTACTACTTTCCTTAGTATTAACATCGATGGAACCAAGGTCTTTCTGTTCATTTAGGTTAGTGTCCTTCTGATTCAAATATTGTTGATCTTTAACAAACACTTTATCTTTCATATCATCTCCTTGAGTCTGCAATAGATAATTATAAATTTGCATTAAATCATTATACTTCAAGTTTATAACTCCATTTTCATCTACTTGACTTTGGGCTTCTTTTATAAGATGTAACATTTCATAAGGTACAGTTGTTTCCTTATCTAAAATATATTCATTTATATGTTCTAAGTCTTGTGGACTCATTTCAACCACATTATGACCTCCACCCAGTATTACGGGCTGTGATACAATTTTTAATTCTGTTTTCGGAATTACTTGTTTTAAGTTAAGTAAAATATCTTTTAATTTAACGAAGTCATCATCACCAAAGGTATCTTTAGTATCATTCAATCCTATCACAGTGAGATTATTGTTTTGATTTTCTAAAAGACCATTTATGATTGCTAAAAGATCTTGATTTGAAACATCTTCGATATTAAGTCCCGATAAATATTTATTGATTTGAGACAAGTTAAATGATTCTGTACTTTCGTTATTGACTTTTTCATCATTTGACGATGAATCACTATTTAAATTTTGCAACTGATTTATGTAGCTCAATAACGCAGTTAAGTAGACATTGTCACCTCTTAGCGATATAACTTGCAATATGAATTTGACTAATAGATTCAAATCCTTATGGCTTACGTCAGTTAAACTTTTCCAATCATTCAGCTCTGTATCAGGCAACACAATATCGATTGCCGTGTTTTCGTGTATAGCCTTTATGTTTTTCAAAATCTTCAAAACGCTTATATTATCATTGTATACTTGGCTTAGATATGAATACATTTTCCTTATATTCTCTTCCTGTTCGTCATTAGTCTTCCCAAAGTTATCTAAGTCTTCGAAAATAACCAATCTATCGATTTTGGTCGGTTTTGACGGACTTTCCGCGATTTTCTCAAGAACGCCAATACGTACGGATTTTCACCATAATCTTTATAGATCTGAAGCAGATGTCCTTGCAAAAGATTCCATTCGTCTTCATTATAATTTTGTATAGCTTGGTCATCGTTAAGAATCTTCAATAGCAAATAAATTCCGTTCTTTGGTTTTCCCTCCACAAGATAGATGTATTCCAATAGTTTTAAAGTGTACGGACTCAGACCGTATGCATTTAATACTAGAGTCAAATATTTCTTCAAGAATTTCGTATCACTCACGCTCAGTTTGGGTAACTGCGTCTCATCGAGTTCCTCAATCTTCAAGTCATTTATTTTTTCGATGTTATTAATAAATTGTACAATGCCGGGGCTAATGTGATTCTCGGCTAGCATTAATCTAAGCAAAAAATTTACAATATCCTTCGGTTCATTAAGAGTATTGATATTTATTATGTTATTGGCGGGAGTAATATTGTTTATTACTGGGTTCAAGACTCCGGGCAAAGGCTGTAATAACGAATAAGAGTAAGACTTTGACGCAGACAGTTGAGGAATTTCACCGAAACCACCGTTCAAGTTGTTTTCAGTTATGTATGGTACACTTGGCCCATTTATCCCAATGTTTTGAACCAAAGGCATACCGTAAAGTTGCAGGCCGTTCAAATCCGAATACCCACCTGCTTGCTCTGCAAAGCTAGTTTGGGGGATTTTATTAATTATGTACGTTATTCTGTTCAAATATTTTCTGGTATTGTCATCAAGAGGGCTTTCAGGTATAATTATCGGTGTATCAGATGCTTCAGTGTTGAAATTATTAGGGCTTCTCCTTCCAGTGTCTAGGATTGGAGCGGATTCCTTTGAAAGGGCGCTTTTACTTGTCAGCACCTCCCTCGTCGGCAGAGGGCCTTGAATGTTGTCACCATTGGCCTGGTTAGCGATGGCGATTTTGTCGAGCAGTGCGCTACTTAGTTTCGCCGCTAGACTGTCGTAGAAGAGTTTCAGGCGCTCACGCTTTTTATATTCGTCGTAGACACCTGGTGTGAAGTTGTCTTGAGGATTTACGTAGCTGATCGCTGCGTAAGGGTTCTGGTACAACGGAAATGGGTTGGCGTAGCTCACCGGTGCTTTCGGCATAATTTTCACAATGTATCCGCCGCTGTCCATTAATTCCGGTGGCAGAACATACTGCCCATTGTTAGGTACCTGCAACGTTGAAAAAAGTGCAGAATTCTTTTATAAATTAGGCAGAAAAGTTAAACCTACCTATGTTAAAGACCGTAATATTTACATTAAATGGTATAATCCGGATTTTCATGTAACTCCTTCTCAGTTTATTGACAACATAAACCTAGAGAAAATGCAAAGGGAGTAGCCAATTAAAACTATCCCTGGTTGGGGGTCAAAAACTTTAAATATTCTGGTTGCAAAGGGAAAACATTTATATCGTGTGAAAAATGTATAAACCAGTCGATATAAAAACTGATGAGAAAAATTCTAAAAAAGGTAAACATCGACAGTCCCTCGTAGTAGCAACTGTCTTCTTTGCTTTAAAATGATAGTATTGTCGAGTAGGGAATAATAATGTACTCACGCACTCAATGTGCGCGGTTCAATATACTAAAACAAAATTGGGCTATATGCTATGCACTGTATACTCACCAGCTGAGCCAAAATGGAGAGGCCTGAGTTCACTAGAGCTAAGAAAGTTAAAGCCTGCATGGTTGACGCAGCACCAGCGACGCATGGATTTATAGGCTATCCTTGATCGCATCGCCAATCGATTTCTATATATAACACGTTCCACGGCACCGTGTAATTTCGCATATATAATGCATAAGGGGATTTGTGTCGCGTATAATAAATTATAACAGCGCATTCGTCTCGAAAGTACTGGCCGCGAGTAAGCTACGATTGACGTTCGCTCTGTGACGTTTCGATTTGGCTGGAAAGTTGACAGGCTCTCTGTCACTAGTTGGGATTTAAACATGGCGGCAAGAACCGCGTAGCTTAGGTGGCAACCTTTAACACTGCACTTTCGCATTGCATGCCTGCAAAAACTCTAATGCTCCATAAATTGATGATCCGAATCTAGGTTGACTGAAACCTTCCACGACGTGGTAATAATGACCTAACATGGGAATCGTTAAATCTTAATATTCCCTTGGCCTCTATGTTTTCCATTTTTTCGAGATGTCTCTCACTGCGGATGTCGTCGTTGTGAACTCTATCACGCAGAGAAATGCAAAGGTAGCAAAACAAACAAAGGTAACCGACATAACGCAGAAGTGATGTTCTTGTGTGAACGCAGAAGTGTTCACCTGATGTTAAGTGATAACCGACTGCCCATGGACATCTGCAACACGCGTAGGGCTGTAGATGCCTTGCCACCTCTTAATAATGTGGGCCCCGGCTACCTTACTCACCAGACGAAACGCAGAAGTGCAACACTTCTACTTTACGCCGGTCTTCTGTGAGATCGTGGTACTAACCCGGATGGACCTGCCAATTCGTGCAACAGCGCGGCCGTTCCACCGTATAAATCTCGTAAAACCGATAACCGTTGGGGAAGAAAGGTTTACGAGTGGCAGCCTCGTACTGGCAATCGCAGTGTGGGAAGACCTCCCGCTAGATGGAGTGACGACCTGTGCAAGTGTGCGGCCAGTCGATGGATGCAGGTGATCCAGGATGGTGTTTCCTGGCAGTCTGTGGCAGGCCTATGTTCAGCAGTGGAGTCAAACAGGCTGAAATGATGATGACGACCATCATGACTTGTGCCCGCTTGGCAAAAACTGGTCAATACAAGTCAGCGAATACAAGAGCCAAACACTTCTCCGTTGCGGTCGTAGCACAAGATCTTGTATTCGTTGTGATGTTTCGGTTCGGTGCAAAAAATGGCGGAATGAGATGATGCGGTCGATGAGATGAAATTCTAGCTCAATCAACAGGCGACACAAAAATGTACGGACTAGTTGAAAGTGACGGTGCCGTCTCGTTTTGGCGGCAAAATCGACACCGTGTATTTTACAACCGACTTCGAAACAGGAGGGTGTTCTCAAGTCAAACTTAGATTTTTTTTTATGTTGTTACCTCACCGTTATTTATGTTACGATTTGATAAAAATATTTTTTAGAAATCCTATGTTAACATCGGTATTTTATATTATAACTTGAAACCCGGAAGTTATGTATTAATAATTTCTCGACATCGTGAAAGTTAGTTTCGTTCCGTTCATTAAGAATTGGCAACGCACAACCTAATAACCATTTAATTTCTTTTCGTCAGAGCATATTAAATGTGGCGTAAACTTAAAACAATTACGGCGTAACTAAAGGATATTTATTTTAACTATTTAATCATGAAATGGAATGTATAATGCATGTTTTTTTACGATACTGAAATAAAATCAAGCAAGCTCTTTGGGCTTCTATTAAACCCTAGGATTTGCATTTGCAAGCAGTAAGCCACCTTACACAAGTTAACTCACTCGCCAGACGAAATTCAGAACTATAAATTTTAGAGTTCTAAATTTCGTAGAAACATTTTTGTAGTGTAATCGCGTCTATTACACCGCTACCTGTTACTGTCCCAGACAAGCTGACAAAAACATGGAACGTGCTTCGAGGCTACCACAGACTTAATTACCAGTTTGAGACTCATTGTCTGGGCACTCGCCTTTAATTCAATATACTCGAGCAACCTGAGTTCGATCCCTGGTGCCGGCACAAATGAAGTTGTTGATTTTAAGTGCTGAATTATCACGTGCTCAGCGGTGAAGGAAAACATCGTGACGAAACCTGCATATTTCCGAAATAATTACACAAAAAAGTGAAGTGTAGTGGGGTCGCGTGGTGGACAATGCCCTAATATCCTCTGCACAGAGGCCTTTGTTTAGCAGTGGACATTCATAGGCTGTTACTTTAAGCTCGATGCATTATTAAATAACCCTCATTAGGATGAAAAGACAAAAATAAAATCTAATTCCATTCAGTTTGAGTTAATACATCCTATTTTATAAAAAATCGTATGTAAAAACTAGTTTTATTACAAATAGTCAGCAGTATATACTTAAATCGTTACGAGAACGAACGAAATGAACACATATAATTTTGTTACATAAATTCACCGAGAGATGGCTGTGTAATAAAAGCATACAACTACAAATTGAATCAAAGGTATCTTGTATTAACTGACGTTTTTGCTTTCAGTCCCGAGACTATTAAAGCTTCATCTGACGCAGAACCGGTGGGCTAGCCAGAACCCACGGGTTTGGGTGAATCAAAGGTGAAATTACTGTCATCATTTCAGCTTGTTTCATTCCACTGCCTCCCACATAGACTTCCACTCAAAAACAAATTAACTAATAACTACCAAGATATTATCAAATGTTTATATAGCAATTTAAAATTTGCGATCTCTTTAGTTTAGATTAGATTAACAGCCGGTTTCTGAATCACTGATCATCGTAGAAATTAACTATGCAGATGTTAAATAATTAATTTTTACGATGATTAGTGTTTTAGAAACCGTGCGTAAGTTAGGAAATAAATTGTTTAGTAAATGATGAAAGTAAGCCTAGTTATACAGCTTGTATAGAACTAAAACTAGCAACAGTTATATAACTGTTGCTAGTAATATTTCTACACAAGCTGTATCTTAGTAAACTTTATTCGTATCAATGCAATGCATAATACAGATAGTAAGGAAATAATTTATATAAATGAATAAAAACACTAAATTGCTAGTTAAAAAAATTAAAAACAAGTAAGACGAATCATTTAAACAGAGAAACCGTTTAGATTTAGACAAACAATTAATACAAAAGAACTAACAAACCAGAAGACGTAGATTCAAATCCTGCGATGCCAAAAACTTTGTCGACAATTTTTCTACAAAAGTTTTAAAACACTTTTTAAATTACGAACAACTTATAAAAAGAAAAAGTTGAAGAATACTTATAAAAAAGGTCAATATGTTCTGTAGCCTATGACAAGCTCTTCATCCATGTGGTTATGCGATTCAAAAATTGAAAACATTCAAACTGGGTAAAAATTTTTAATTAGTCAATATTTACATACATTGCTATACGCCTAAATTGCACTTTGTATATTAATGAATCATAACAAGATGGCAACACAACAAAATCAAATTATATTTGATTATGAAATAGAAAATTAAGACATTCTAAAAAGAAACAACATTAAAATAAACAATATCAACATTGAAATATATAACATATCTTAATAATATTCATATTAAAAAAGATTATAGGTCTTAACATATATGGGAGAGTCAACATAACTTCGTTTATTTATTTGTTTTTGAAAATTATCCATAAACAATTATTTAGTTTAACATTACTAACATAATAACAATTTCACTGGGTCATCGGAGGCTAAGAAAATTATCCGACAAACTCAACACTTATATTGCAACATCTGGGAACAACTGGGAACATTTATCAGTTTAGCTTCAGTACGTAGTAAAATCTCAAGACTTCAACAGAGTTTGAATTACTATTTAAAAAAAAGTTTCCAAAATATAACTTCAAAAAAGCACGTAAATCCCTGTCTATCTGACTTTTCCAAACTGTTTCAAAATATTAATCAATAACACATGGACACAAAATGGAAGTTTTGTAAAAACTGTGATTTGAAAGAAAAATTTCTTGAACAATAAGGTAGGAATCTTACAATACCCATTTGAGTTAAAGAGATATTCCAGCACATTCTAATTATGTAATAAACAAATCCTTTTAACAGATAAAATATGAATTCCTTTTAACAGAAAAAAAATTAATTATATTGTATAGCATTCTTTTTTTTCTCGGTAGTTTTTAATATTATTGTAACTGCATAAAATGACAGTTTGATTTGATATGCAAAGGTTTATTTATTGGATATTATTTTGGCAGTATCTGTTAACTCTTTTAAAACAAAAGATACATTTTTAAAATCTCCCTTAAAACCAAACAGAAGTCATATTTGGTGTTTCACAATTACAATATAAGTGCCGTATGATATATGGCTGGTCTAAAATAACGATTTCACATTTATTATTATATTCCACACTCAAATATTTGTGTAAATATTTATACATACAAATAGTGTTATAAAAATTCCTATGCTACGAGTCTATGAGTATAAATGAATATTGTATAACATATGAATAGTTTGGAAAAATCAGACAATGAATATACATTTGTCAATTCATTTTATGATACCACATCCGCTTTGAAAATCTCTATCCAGTAGCCATCTGGATCCTGGATGAAGGCGAGCCCCTTCATCTTGCCGTCTTGGGGGCGCTTGATGAATTTCACCCCTTGCTGTTCGAATCTGGTGACAGGGAGGAAATATACTGGGGTTAGTTAGGGGCCAAATTTAATAAAAGGTGGCAATGCATCAGCAACCCAAGTGTTGCAATTGTCCATTGGTGGACGTTTTCACTTAACATCAGGTGAACCGCTAGCTCGTTTGCCACATTCTCACATAAAAAAAATAGCGGCTTGCGGGGAGCGTTGGTAGAAATTTTCACGCAAGGAAAATGCGTTACGCCCCCTCTATTCGAAACTATAGGGCTCTCTGTATTTCTAACATGCTCTAGCTAAACGAGGAGCGGAAGAAAAAATCTTTTTTTTTTTTTCAACAGATTTCCAAAAATCAGGTTGTCAAATTAAGTTAAATTTGTTACCTCAATGTTTGATCTCTGAACTCCATCATTTATGAACCGATTACATAAATTGTTTTTACATTGCGTTAGGCTGAGTACCCATATAAATTCATTATCAGATACAAGATACAGATTATCAGATACGGTGGTAAATTACGAACGTATTAATTTTTATGTAAAATTTTTGATATTTCATAAGAACGCGCAAGCGTCTATGTGAATAAATATATTTTTGACATCAGGGTCAGAACTCCATGAAATTAAATATAAAATGAATAGAGAATGAGATATTTAAAGTCTGTATTGTTTTTTGATATTAAAAACCTAATATTACTTTACATATTGATTAATTGCAATCATTCCTTTGTACATAAATTTACTATTTGTCATTTAATTACTCTCACATTCTGTTAAGTTATTTTACTTCGACTATTTTATATTATTACACAAAAATCAGATGGCCAATGACAACTCTTGACAATATTTTAAGAGAAGGTGGGAAAGTAGAGATTGATTTATGCAAGAAGTTTAATGGTATTTGATTGACCATAGCTTACTGTTAGATCAGTTACTATGGACATCCTCAACATTAAGGTGACTTCATAAGCATATATTTTCTGTCATCACACACCGGAGTGCGACAATAGAATTACAAAACTTACAGAAGATTTGCATAGAGTGAAAGTAATTACACTTTTCACACAAAAAAATGCTATCAGGAAGGTTTGGCACATTTTGGTTATTTTTTTTTGGAAAAAGGTCAGGAGGTTTACCTGATGAAAAGTGATGACCTATGAAAATCTACGAGGGCTTGCAAATGCGTTGCTGCCCTTCCAGAAGTAATTAATACCTATATTATCAATGTGCATATATGGATTGCCGACCCCACTTACTTATCATTTCGTTGCTAGGTCGAAATTTCTTTGTAATAAAACAAGTTAGCTCAAGACTAGCCAATTTTTATGTTTAAAATTACTTCTGATTCGCAATTTCAATCCTTGTGAAGTATTTCAAATTCTAGTTAACTAATCCTTCCGAATTTTTTACCTTGCACAAGCTTCTTCTACGTCTGGAACCAATATACCAATGTGGCCAAATCCCCTGGGATCCGAGTTGCCGTTGTGGTAACTGGAGTCGTCGCTCTCTGTGCCCCAGTTGCTGAAAATCCATAAAGATTAAATAGTATTTATTACCTAGGTGTCAATTAAGTTAACCTGATGGCAACCACCACCCATTGACACCCTTAACAACTAGATGACTCGGTAGGCACAAATCAAATCAAAAATATATTTATTCAAATAGACGCTTGCGCGTTCTTATGAATCGTCAAATTTTACAACAAGAATTATATATATAGGTGTCATGTTCTTCTTTCCTTTATGGTGCTTTTATGAATTCCAATGACACGTGAAAGATGTTTCATCAGTTTAAGCTTAGATAGTGAATAAATATCCTCCTTTTCCTCATATGCCTCATTTTCAATATCTTAGTACAATCCATCATAAAAATCTTCGCTCGACACATAACCATCTTCTCCAATGTCCTTCTCATCGTACTGGTTTCATGCACTCGTCTTTCTTTGTTCAGTCCATTATTTTGTGGAACGCGCTGCCTCGCAAAATCAAGACTGCTAAAAGTCGCTCCGCATTTAAAAGGAAAACTCGCGAGCACTTCCTTAAAAAACTGTCAGCAGATTCTCTGAATCGTTAAATATAATATAAAGTATGTATATATTATATTTATTTTATATATAAAATGTGAGTATGTAAGTATGTATATCTTATATTATGTATGTGTGTATGTATCGTGCATTAATATGTTTACTTTATTTTATATTTGTATGGTATTGTATAGTTTTATTAGATATTATTAGGGTAGTATTTTGTTGGTAGATTTCATATGTAATGTACATATTTGAAAATCTTTTGATTGCTTTTTTTTTTTTTTTTCTGTTGTTGTAAATTTGTTATAAATGCACCTACCCTCACTTTTCTGGACCACCCCAAGGTTGACTGGGAGATAATGCTGATGGCATTAAGTCCGCCTTTGTACACCAATGTTTGTGCAAAAAGTTTAAATAAATAAATAAATAAATAAGAGAAAATTTTCTTCTCTTACTTTGCGAAAAGAGATGAGATTGTGATATTATAGGCACGAAATAGAAATAAATTTTGATAATACTACTCTGTTGAACAACCTAAAACAAAAGACAAACAATTATGTTAAAACAGATATAATTGGTGTGTTAATATTGACAGACACTTATAGTTTAATGTTATTAGCGTTAATAAAATCACACAGAATATATAGAAAAGAGGTGTTTGTATAGGTTAATAGGGAGTTGAAGTCTATAGGACGCGGGATATAAGGGGTGTCATGTTCCAATATGTGTAATCTTAAATGTGGGTATTTTTTACTTTGTTGTCAAATAAAGTTAAATATTTGAAGGTAGTAGCAGAAGCGACGGACGACTTACGTATTGTGTAAGCTACCTAGCTAATTACATATAGTATATACTTAACGTCTTTTATTATATGACTCCGTGGCGCCGTTGCCAAGGTATCCGCTTCGGCGTCGGGGGTCGTGGGTTCGATTCCCACACGGGACAACTATTTGTGCGACCCACAGATAGTTGTTTCGCATCTGGGTGTTTGTCCTCGTGCAATTTATGTTTGTAAAACGTCCTTACAACACAGGATAATGTTATCCTAAAGTGGGGGCAATGTTTAAAAAAAAAAAAAAAAAAAAAAAAAAAAAAAAAAAAAAAAAAAAAAAAAAAAAATATTATTCTGGACATAATAGGTTCGTATGGTACCACAGTCGCTAAGCTATTGGCTTCGGCACCAGAGGTCATGGTTTCGATTCCCCAAACGGGAAATTTGTGTGTACCACAGAAAATTGTTTCAGTATATACTCTTAAGAAGGGTTGACATCAGGGGTGCGGCCCCCACCTATGTGAGATCATGGAGAAATGAATCTAATTATTAAGATTCCTTTAATGGCTTCTACTCCTAGCCAGTTTACTCCTCAGTGTAGGCGAAACGCAAAAATGTTTCTTGAAAGCCCATGCTATTCAAACAGAGGAGCTGTTGCCTATATCTGCCGCGGTAAATTTATCTTAGAATGAGGCAACAATTAATAATAAGTCTTGGACAAGACAAGATAACATTTCTGTCTTTCCCATAAGGTTAAAAAAGACAAACTTACATTAAAAATATTCATCAATCACTATTACGTTGGATGGCTGAGTTGTCCTATTTGCTTTTGCACATTTTTTTTGGAAAGAAAGAAGAAAGAAAATCTCTTTATTTCACATCACTTACCAAAAAAAAATACATATTCAAAACATAAACAGAAAAATAACTAAGAATTCCGAGTTACCGTTACCTTTTTTAATATATTGTATTAAAGTTCATCAAATACGATTTAAATTTGACTGTATTCATCTTTTCTTTTTGTGTGTGTGTAATGAAGAAGAAGAAACTGTTTTTAACAACTTGATGTAACAGTCCCATTTTGTATTTGTTTTTCTAAATATATAATATATGCCTGTACCATTAAGCATTATATTTCAATATATATAATGCTTAATGGTACAGACAAAGTGATTGCTAGGCAAACTAGTACAAACATAGAAATAAACTTACTAGGTGAGTTCCAACGTAGCTTTCCTGGTCATGGCCCATGCGGCTCGCGCTTTCTCGTCGCGTGGCACCTCGCTGGGATTCTCGTATCCCATGAAAAAGAGCGAAAACTTCATTTCGGGGAAGTGTAGCTGTTTCAGCAATGTCATTCCCAGCACTCCGGTGTAGAACGGTATGGATTTCCTCGGGTCCTTTATGCGGTACATTGTTTGTTGAAACATGAACTCCTGAAAGATTCATCGGACCATGATTATTGTAAGATAATGTATGATGAGTAAATTTTATGTCAAAATGTTGCAAATGAGCAGGCGTTTCACCTAATGTTAAATGATAACATCAGCCGATTGATATTTGCAACATCCGTAGGGTTGCACTTTTGATTAAAAATCTGGGCCCTGTCTGCTTCACTCAGCAGACTAAAGGCATAGGTGAAACACTTCCACATCAGCCGGTCTCGCATAAGGTTGTGATACTTAGGCAGACCTACTCATTCATGCAACCGAAGACAGTTGAATGGCCCTACCAGATGGAAATATTATAGATATATGAATTATAACTTAGATGTGATACAAGTAAGCTATAATCAACCCTTCATACTATACTTTCATATTTTATGTCTGACTGATAGCTGATAGTTTCATGTATGGTGATAGCTCTGGCAATAATCCTTACTAATATTATAAACGCGAAAGGATGGATGTTTGTTACTATTTCATGCAAATACTACTGAATGGATTTTAATGAAACTTTACAATAATATAGCTTTCACATCAGAATAAGACATGGGCTATAATTTATATACATATTTGATGTATGTCAGTCTTTCTGTCTGAATCTTACGCCTTCAGCCTATTCTACACAGACATATTCGTGGGCAGCAGCTAGTTATTTATACTGTTGTGTGTGTAAAATTGAATCTCATTGTTGTGCAAAGGTTGGATTTAAGCTTTTTATCTTAGATCATGAGTCAAGGTCACTGTAATTGCCAAAGTATAGGTAAATGACATAGAATATAATAGTTAGTATTGTTTGTATTTTCATTGTATTCTAGAACATTTGAGTTTGTATTAAGGCAAGCTGTTTTAATCTTAGCATACCTTTGTCATTCCTGTTAAAACCTCACCTACTGTGAGGATAACAAAAGGTTAAATGTCATGTGAGATAAGAAACTTTCATGATAACCAAATTAAAGCTCCTTATCTCAGGACTACAATACCTACATTGAACAGCAAAATATTTTTATAACCATAATTTGCATATATTTTACTTTTATAAACATTTGCTTCAAAAAATTTCACATTAATCAGTATATTATGATTTCACATTTTCATTTACGTATATTTTAGGGTGGAAAAATTTAATACATAGTTTCTGTTAGTTCAGAAGTACTTCAACGTATGTAGATTATGAGATTACTCAAGAATACTCGAGCTATTGGTCAAAATAAATTTCGCTGATTAGTTATATGTTGAATTTTCTTACAAATACCAACCTTGGTGGAGGGATGAGGAGTCTGACATAACGACTCGACTTCCTGAGGCGAAATCCCTTCGCTTGCCATGTTCCTATAGAAAAAAAAACAACAAGGAAACCAATTAGAAAATAACTCAGATCTTGTTCAAGTATTGTCTGAAGATGTTATGCAAATATAATGGATATTACCTGTGAATAGTAGTGGCCGGAATTTTCAAATGCCGAAAATAATTGAACTTTATGCAGCCGAAAGTCAAGATACGAGCTGATAATGTCATAGCCAGTGTTGTGCAATTCTATTTCATGTCGATTATCTGTCACGGGAAGACTGTCAAAATTCTGATTTTGTATCGATTGTCCAAGTTATATCGGTTAATACCCGCTTAGATTATAAGTTAAATTAAAGCAGTGTATGTTCACGCTCGTAAATAGTAATACTTCTTTATGAAAATAAAAAAAATATTTATAAAAATAAATTGGTTATCATCAGAATTGTTTGTTTACGGTATAAATTATAATAGAATTGAAAACATAACTTCCTATTCGTAAATGGAATTTTGTTCATAATTTTTCTTCAATATTATTACTCAATTTTTATTCTTAATCATTGCACCAGCAAATATTTTTTTCCACAACAAAATTGCCTATAATATAATGAAATTTTAGTACTTTCATTGAATGTTTTAAACCTGATAATTTTTTATCTTAATGTTATTTAAGTTTTAGTTCAAACTTTGGTGAGTTTTCAAACCATAGTACAGTATGTGTTTTCAAACCGTCCTATGTACCATCAGGAATTTTATTCCAAAGATAGAATTTTTCATACAGATATCTAAGCTCTTCCATCCACACAAGGTCTCTTTCCAAGGAAGTATGTTGACATTGATATACAGATACCATTCTTACATTTTTTAATTCGTCAACAAATATATCTCCAACCAACGAAACATAGTCCCCTTCAACAAAGTTAAGAATGTTTTGTTGCTTTTTCTTCATAAGATCTAGCATCGAGTACATGATCATGGCATTATTACTGTCGTATTGTGTGGTTACAGTAAGATCTTTAAGGACTTCTTTTATATTACCATTGGTCAAGTTATTTTTGTTCTTAGTAGTGTCATAATAAACTTGAACGGACCCAGTGGCGTCACTAACTTCCAAATTGGTTGTTTTAGAAGTTTTGTTATAAACTGCTGTGACGATTCCGTGAATCATGACATTTTTAAATTTAACACCAAATAACTCGTAGACGTATTTGTTTTCTGGTGTGCGGTTGGCGCGAAAAATATCTTGAATGTATAACTTTAATGGATGTTTTTGCGTGTCCATACTGCTATGGATGTATAAAATAGTGTCCAATTTATATCAAACCTTGCTAATAATTTTAAGAACCGTGGTTTGAACATTAATTGTCTCTTAATAAATCAACAATTTTGTTGAAGTTTTGAAATTATGTGCGCGTCAACGACAAAGAGAATGTAATCACTACGTATAGCGTCAACGATCTCGAGCTGTCATGGGACAGATCATCAATCTCATCACTAGATGAAACTAGAAACCAAAAATCAATTTTTATTATTAAAATTTTATCAACAAGGCCAGAAAGTTAACTAAAAGTAAGTCAACTTTTAAAGAATTTAAAATAATAACAAAGTGATGAACAAAATAGTGTTACACACTATTAAATGTGCAGTACCCTATCGTTGCCTAAGATACTAGGATTTGCAGTAAAATCGCCAATACACTTTGTACACAACACAATGTGTACAATACACTTTTTTTTTTTTTTTTTAACGGAATTAGGTTTCTTCGTGTAATATTTAAATGGAAATCGATTCGTTGCAACGTATCTTCGTGACGACTGACATGTGGCATACAAAAATGTTTGTTTAGATAGAGGCTGAGGTTGATAACGGGGTTTTCTAAATTCCCATAGTGTTGGACGACAAGCAAATCCAATAAACGCGTTATTTGACGTAGGTATAGGATATGAGTGAAACATTTTATGAGAAAAGTGCGAAAGAACAAATTCCAACGGCAAGTCGTAAGTTTTTTGGCTCGTTTCTTATTTGTGGACAGAATCCATTACGATTTTAATACATATCATACATATAAAAAAAAACACAAAGATATTTTCTAATACAAAACTAATAATTTTGTGTGCATTTTAATTTTAACGTTTCCAATGTAAATCGACAACTATAGCAAAACAAATGTATTGGGTATTTGATGATCTTAATCCGTCCGAAGCCAGAATGCACATCATTATTTATTCATTTTAAACCGTAACAAATACAAAATATTATATGGCACAGATAAATATTTCTATTATTTAATCTGTTCCACGCAGGATCTACAGCTCATTCACGACCTCAGCTTACGAGTTCATTACGAGGAAACAAAACCCTCTGTATGAGGATGTCTCCATCTGAGATATGCATAGTAAATTACTCGATTTAGATGCGGCGCCTCGCTTCCCGCAATGTGCAATCGCGACCACTTCGAACTGGGGCGGAGATATGTTGTTATAAAACGTTGATTGGGGAGCATTGGATGTTGGATACCTAGATAGGGATGTTTTTTAAAAATAAACTAACTAAACTACCTTTAGTTTGAATAGAAATAAGATTATTAAGGGCTAAGAATAAATATCATTCATACTATCGGTTTTATTCCTAGCCCTTGTAGTACGAGTATTGAAGTAAAAAAAAATTAAATGATTTCACTCTACTTTCGTACAAGTAGGTATTCTTAGATACCTATGTACAGAATAGTCGACCAGACTACAGGTATACAGGATATAATTATGGATTTTTATTTTCCTCAACTTGAAACAACTTCGAGTCTACTGCAGTTTGTTTTTATGTAATGCGTGGACTCTGAAAATAATGAATCGATTGAAGAAAGAAGCTTTTCATTTGTAAAACTTATAATAGGTTTTGCAAATGAAAAGGTACTTTCTTAGAAAACGTTTGGTTACAAATATCGATATAGTGAAGGCAATAGTAAGTTTAACATCTAAATATTAAATTTAAGGTAAATTAAATCCTTTTAACTTCCTTCGAACCATCTAAACTGGGACTTATCTATTATAAAGGACACAATAATAAGAAACTTTGAGGTCAAACGATTTAATTCAAACGCGGAGTGCGCTCAAACTAATCAATTACACCCTGCATCTCTCTGATTGAGACAAACGGTTGGCATCATGCTAAAGTACCTACTCACGTATAACAAATATGTGTGGCCGTTGTGCGATATCAATAACGCTAAATGATTTGTGCATGCCATTCAGTAGTCCACACATGGGCTTTGCAATAATCTATGCAACTATAATCTTAATAAAACAAGCAATAATAAAGTAAATATTTAAAATGTACTGTTTCCTCTTTTGTTTAAAATAATTAAATCGATCACAACTCCCACCCCCTCTCATATCTTTAAGCTCGATAAAATCGATTTAAGTACAGAGTAAAAATTAATAGTAGAAAATTATAGAATTTGAATTTATCGAGTATACGGGCTATTGTGTTACCCACAAATAATTATTCCGTATTTGGGTGGTATTCCCAAGGCTGTGTGACCCCACGTAGGTGGAATAAGAGCAGGATCAGTAAAATAATTTTGTTTTTGAGTGATCTTTACTAACCACTGGGTCCGCCATTTTCTAAGTTTTATTTCATATCTACGGTTCACCGCTTTAGCCGAGTATCATTGTAGTAAACGAGGTTTATTTATATCTGATTATCGTTTCTGGAGGATACGAATAAAGTTTTGAATATATAATATTATTGGAGGATACTATCTAAGCCGAATTCACCAAGATAGTAAGTATCCACGGTTTTGAAGTATACCTACTCTGTGATTACGCGATGCGGAATAGTCAAAGTCAAAGTCAAAATTTCTTTATTCAACATAGGCTCATTTTAAGCTCGTATTGAACGTCAAAAACAACCACCGGTTAACTAAACTAGACCTGCCAAGAAGAACCGGCTATAAACTGCGGTCTTATCTTTTTTAATATAATAATCAAAAATGATGCAAACGTCCTTTTCGTTTCCTTCCAATTACCCTTTATTTTTTATTTTATAACGATGCTGTTCAGTAAAATTAATTTAACGCAAAACATACAATTCGGAAGACATAAAACATGAGAAATAAAATTGTCGCAAAAATCACTTTAATATGCAAAACACTCGCAATCATGTTCAATAAAACGTGCCCCTTCGTTATAGTAAAAAGACGTGTTGCCATTAATAACGATGCAAATTTTTATTTCCCGCCATAACGCCACCGGAGGGCGGCCATTTTGGGACGTCCCGAAATTGCTTGGCCGTTACCGTATCTCCTTGTTTTAGCGAAACTCACTACAACGTAGGGAATAATTTCGTTTGATATTAATGCCACGGGTGGTGGAGGTTTAGTGATCGGGGACGCCGACTCTTAACTACTAACTAGGCATAAGTTCGTAGGTACGATTCTCAGTAACGTTTGCTTAATAAATCTCAGTTTTCCATCATTTATCATGAACGCAGCCCGCTTCAATTCGATAGCTGTCTATCTCTGTCTAACATTTTATGGTCAAAGACGTGAGGGCTTCAGTTAATGCCACGAATTAAGTTATGACGAATAAATGGTCATATCTCAGACGTTTTGATGCTAGTTCACGGCTCTTGAGAGTTATATACCCGTATGTTATAACATACATAGACGTTATATGGGGCTCAGTAAACTTAAGCAATTTATCTTTATATGTCGTAATACGGAGTAATGAAGACTAAGTGTTATAGGGTTGTTCGAATTGATGTTAATGCAGACGATTTATATCTTTACCTCAAGTAAAGGTTACAGTAAAATCTGGGAAAAATTCAGGCTAATTGAGTATCTAATTTTCCTATGAAACTAAGGATCATGGCTCGATTGCAGAGCTAGCTATCGGAGTTTTCGATATGGCACCTTGTCCTAATAGGCGTTTCAGTTAAATCTGACCATCGTCATGGTTTTACGGTGGTAGGGCCACGCAGCTGTCACGGCTGTTGCACGAATGACTTTGCTCTCGACCCCGTCTAAGGTACTCTGCACGATTATCCTAGACAGGCTGTCGACGGCCGTTGAACCTCTTTTGCGCAAAGAGCAAGCTGGTTTCCGACCTATCAGATCATGTACGGAACAGATCGATACCTTGCGCATAATCCTCGAACAGGCATCAGAATGGCAGAGGGAAATATATTTGACCTTTGTGGACTTCGAAAAAGCCTTCGATACGTTGAGGTGGAGC